ATGACATTTCTTGTTCTAATATAATCAAATTTCAAGAATCCCTTGCAAAAAATAAGGTAAAGTGGACATTCGCGCGCGCAAGACGAAATCCTTCCAAAACTTAGTGTTCGGAGCGATTTTAACATAAAAACATCAAAAAACCAATGGTTTTTCAACAAAAAATGTCAAAATCTCATCCCGCGCGCTCTTGCGGATTCGTAGGAAACCCAACACTTTTTAAACATTTCTGTCAAACGGGCTTTTGCGAGCAACTTTTTCGAACTTCTGCGACAACGGTTGCGCACCTGCCAGGGCCATCATCCCTGTCAAATAATACCATGCGGGACACATTCGTTTTTTCTTCGCGCGCGCACGCCGTCGTCGTCGGCCGCGGGGCCCTGAATAGTAGCCACGGTCGTCCGCATGCCACGAAGTGAAGTGTCCGAACGTCATAGGGCGGGAAGCTGGGTGTGGGTGGTGGCGAAGAGTCGTTTGGAAATTTGGTAGAGCTTGAACCGGCCCCCCCACAAAGTGGGGGTATTGCCCGCCTCCTATGAAAACCCTGGCACTGGTGAGAACGGAGTGTCCCCAGTGTGCTAGTAATTGTTGTTGAACACTATTACTTCTAAAGAATTATTATTGTTGGACCCCCTGGTGCACGCCCCCCGCCCAAAACCTAGGCCGCAGCTACATTTTCATCATTTTTCTGCGAAAGCTTCAGAAAAGTGGATTACCCCCGGATCCGGTTTTTTGTTGACGCTCGTTTTCCCTTGCAAAAAACAATAGAAAATGAAAATTCTTGTTCTTAGTTGATCAAATTTCAAGAATCCCTTGCAAAAAATAAGGTAAAGTGGACATTCGCGCTCGCAAGACGAAATCCTTCCAAAACCTTAGGTTTCGTAGCGATTTTAACATAAAAACATCAAAAACCCAATGGTTTTTTTAAGAAAAAATTGTCAAAATGTCCTTCCGCGCGCTCTTGCGGATTCATAGGAAACACACCACTTTTTAAACATTTTGTCACAGATGTGATCAACCTCTGTGGGTGTGTACCCCACGCCAGTGTAGTAGCCAGGGTCGTCCGCACGCCACGAAGTGAAGTGTCCCAACGTCATAGGGCGGGAAGCTGGGTGTGGGTGGTCTCGAAGAGTCGTTTGGATATTTGGTAGAGCTTGAACGGCCCCCCCACGAAGTGGGGGTATTGGCTGGTGTCGCAAGAAAACCCTGGCACTGGGGAGAACACTGAGCGTTCGGGTAAAATGATTGTTGTTGTTGTTGTTGTTGTTGTTGTTGTTGTTGTTGTTGTTACTGTTGTGGTTGTTGTTGTTGTTCGTGTTGATGTCGTCGTTGTCGTCGTCGTCGTTGTTGTAGTTGTTGAAACCCCATGCAGAAGAACAACTATTGTTGATCCCTCCTTTCCGATGACCGTTGTATTTTTTCAATTGAAGTGCTTCCCCCGGTGCTCGCACCCTGTTTTTTTTATAAGGGGAAGTCGGCTCAAACTGGGTTGCTCGCCCCCGGTTTACAACAACAACAGCAACGGCTCCCGCCTGATACTTCCTCACAATGTATTCCCAAGTCGCGCTCTCGCGCGGGACTTCTTCACAATTTGTATACGATTCGCGCTCTCGCGTGGGACTTCCTCGCAATGTATTCAGACGATGCTCCCTTGGCTGTCTGGAATCACGTTCTCGCTTAGGCTCTTCTTACGATTTACTGGGGAATCGCGCTATCGCTCGAGACTTTCTCGAGATTCATGCAGGGCCCACACTTCAGCTTGTTTTCTGCTCCTTGCCCCCTCCTGCTAATTTCTCTCGTGCTCCATCCTTATCCCTTCCCCTTCCATCCGTCTTCTCTTTCCTGTTTTTAGGGGCTGCATCAAATCCACGTGGCAGGTACGGAAGATACACCTCCAAGGGGGTACGATCGCAGACGACGAGGGCGGGTACCGAGGGTTGGGGATATGTCACGTGAGCAGAGAGGAGCGAACAGTCTTAAAATGATTGTTGAATTCTCACTGCTGAAGAATCATTATTGTTGATCCCCCCGCCGGTGACCATTCTGTGTTTCAATTGAAGTGCCTCCCCCGGGGCTCGTACCTTGTTTATTAGCAGGGACAGTCATTAGGCTCAAACTGAGCCCCTGCCCCCCCGATTACAACAACCACGGCTCCCGCCTGAGACGTCTTCACAATTTAGCCAGGACCCCCGCTCCCGCCTGAGACTCCCTCGCATTTTACTCCAGAATCGCGCTCTCGCTTGGGATTTCCGAACTTCCTTACAATGTATTAAGGAATCGCTTTATCGGCCCTCTGGAGTCGCGCTCTCGCTGGGGACTTGCTTGCAATTTTCTCAAGAATCGCGCCCTTGCGCTGGAATTCCCTACAATTTACTCAAGCGCCGCTCTCCCGACACTTAGGCACCCAGGACTCGCGCTCACGCTTAGGACTCCCTCACAGTTTACTTAGGAATCGATGCTCGCTGCCCTTCGTGGCCCCGTTGCAGTCATTCGTGGCCTCCTCGCTGCCCTTCGTGGCTTCGTTGGAGCCCATCGTGGCGCCTTGCGCTGCAGCCCTTCGTGTCCCCCTCGCTGCCCTTCGCGGACCCCTCGCTGCCATTCGTGGCCCCCTCGCTGCCCTTCGTGGACCCCCTTCTGCCCTTCGTGGCCCCCTCGCTGCCCTGCGTGGCCCCGTGGCATCCCTTCGTGGCCCCCTTGCTGCTCGTCGTGGCCCCCTTGCAGCCCTTCGTGGCCTCCTCGCTGCCCTTCTTGGCTTCGTTTGAGCCCATCGTGGCGCCCGTCGCTGCCCTTCGTGGCCCCGTGGCATCCCGTCGTGGCCCCGTTGCAGCCCTTCGTGGCCCCCTCGCTGCCCTTCGTGGCTTTGTTGGAGCCCTTCGTGGCCCCCTCGCTGCCCGTCGTGGCCCCGTTGCAGCTCTTCGTGGCCCCCTCGCTGCCCTTCGTGGCCAGCCCTTCGTGGCCCCCTCGCTGCCCTGCGTGGCCCCGTTGCTTCCCTCAGTGGCCCCGTCCTTGCCCTCTGCGGCCCAAGAGCCCGCTCGTTCGCGCCCGTCGTGGCCCCATACGCATGCCCTTCGTGGCCCCGCTGTCGCCCTTCGTGGCCCCCTTCCAGCCCGTCGCGGCCCCGCTCGCTCTCCCTCTCGCTCTCGCTCTCGCTTTCGCTCGTCGCCGTCGCCGTCGCCGTCGCCGTCGCCATCGCCGTCGCCGCCGCCGCCGCCGCCGCCGCCGCCGCCGTCGTCGTCGTCGTCGTCGTCGTCGTCGTCGTCGTCGTCTGGGTCTGGCCCCTGTCCGTCCCTCTTGGGGTCGGGTTGCCGCCGATCAGCGCTGCCGCTGGCCAGGCCGACGGTCCGCTGCCGTCCCGCCGCTTGCGGGGGCCCGGCCTGCAGGTAAAAACGAGATGCCCCCCAGAGGGGTACAATCGAAGGCGAAGAGGTCGGGTATCGAGGGTTTGGGAAATACACGTTGAACGACACTCGAGCAGATAAGAGCGAGCACTCTCAACATGATTGTTGTTGTTGTTGTTGTTGTTGTTGTTGTTGTTGTTGTTGGTGAGGTGGTTGTTGTTGTTGTTGCTGTTGTTGCGGCTGTTCTTGTTGTTGCTGTTGCTGCTGCTGCTGTTGTTGTTGTAGTTGCTGTTGTGGCTGTTATTGAAGTTGTTGTTGGTGGTGTTGAATTCTCGTTCTCGATATTAATTATTGTTGGTTCCCCCCTCCAGGGCACCTCGTGTTTTTCAATCAAACTGCTCCTCCCAGGGCTGGCGCCGTGTTATTTATATGGGAAAGCGAGGGGTCACCAAATTGGGCCCCTGGCCGCCGAGTTACAACAACGGCTCCCGCGTGATACTTCCTCCCAATGTGTTCCAAACTCGCACTCTCGCGCGGGATTTACTCAGACGTTGTGCAGAAATCGCGCTCTCGCGCGAGGTTTCCCCGCAGCTTTTTCAAACGGCGCGCCGTCGACACTTAGGATTCGCGTGCTCTCGCGTTGGCCTTTCTCACGATTTACTTGGGAATGGCGCTACGGCTCGACCTCTCCTCGCGATGCATGTAGGATTCACGCTTCAGCAACCCGCCTGCTCGACCTGGCCGCCTGGGCCTGCCTTTCCGACCCGCCCGCTAGGGTCTGCCCGCCCGATGGGCCCGCCTGTTTGTGTTACGTGTTTTCTGCTTCTAGCCCCCTCTTGCTAATCCCGTGCTCCATCCTTCCCCCTTCCCCTTCCATCCGTCCTCTCCTCCCAGTTCCAGGGGCTGCACCAATCAATCGCACGTGACAGGTAAATAAGACATATCCCGAGGGGGGTAAGATCGAGGAAAAGGGCGGATACCGATGGTTTGGGGTATACGGGTTGAATGGCACGCGACCAGGTAAGAGCGACCATATTGAAACTGATTGATGTTGCTGCTGCAGCTGTTGCTGTTGCTGTTGCTGTTGCCGATGATGGTGAACATGATGCTGTTGGTGATGACGATGCTGATGATGCTGATGATGCTGATGCTGATGACGATGCTGCTGCTGATGATAACGATGCTGATGATGCTGATGATGCTGATGACGATGATACTAGTGATGATGCTGCTGCTGCTGATGGTGATGCTGATGCTGCTGATGATGTGCGGGTGAGCAGCAGGAAACGGATGATGAGGATGAGACGGGGGAAGAGGATACGGAGGATGAGGAGGATGATGCGGAGGAGCAGGAGGAAGAGGAGGAGGAGGAGGAGGAGGAGGAGAAGGAGGAGGAGGAGGCCGAGCAGGAGGAGGGGGGAGGGAAGGGATGACATGCTGTGGAGCATGAGGTGTTGGAGGAGGGGCGGGAGCCTGCGGTGGAAGGAGAGGACGAGGGGCAGGGGGAGTGGGATGAGGAGGGAGGAGGAGGAGGCGGAGGAGAAGGAAAAGGAGGAGGAGGAGGAGGAGGGCTCAAGCGCCATTGCCTTCTCGGTCAGGTCCGAGGAGCTAGGGCCCAAACCTTTCCTTTTTGAACGCCAAGTCCACCAGACGCTCGCCCCACAGATGGGGTGGACTTGGAATCAGACCCAGTCACGCCCCAAGATCTGCCGCCCATATGTGGTTTGCACGTCCTGCGGCGCCTGGCAGTACACTTCCAAGGCCAAGAAGAAAGTCTGGTGCAAGTGCGGAGAACCCTTCCACATTCCCGACGCTGGCGACAAAAGCACCCAGGCCAGTCAGGTGAGCGAGAAGGGCGCGCCGCAGCAGGACCAGGATATGAAGTCCATCCTCACAGCGATCCTTGGGGTGCTCAGTGACGCCCAGAAGCAAGAGCTCGGGCCCGCAGCCCAGTCAGCAGCAGCGTTCGTCACGGAGAAGAAGCCCGCCCCCGCCGTGGCCGCGGTGGCAGCGCTCCAGCGAGTGCGGCAGCACGAGAAGAAAGTCACAGAGCTTGGTATCCACGTGCAGGAGTTAGAGACCCAGCTCCAGGCCGCCAAGGACGACCGTGCCAAGGTAACCATGGAGTTACAGGAGGCGCGGCAGCAGTTCGAGGCGGTCAGCCAGCAGGCCACAGCCCAGTGGGGCACCGCCACCGCGGCCGAGGACGCCATGGAGGAGGACCAGGAGGCGAAGCCCAAGGAGGCCCCCGCGGCCGAGCAGCCCAAGGCCAGCGTCCCCGAGCTGCCGCCAGGGCTGCGTGCCGCCGTCAGCGGCCTGCAGGGGGAGGACGCCGAGCAGGCCCAGGCTTTCGTGCAGCAGCTCGAGGCGGCGACCAAGGCGGGGAAGGCTCCACCGCCGAAGCGGCCACCGCCCAAGCGCCAGGGCGCCGCTGGCGGGACAGCAGCCAACGCAGCAGGAGGAGCGGATGACGAGAGCAGGCGTGGCCGCAAGACCGACAAGTCGCCCGTTCCCCACCGCAGCCGCAGTGAGCCCAGGGGCCGTGGGGGGGCTGCACGCGGGAGCCAGAGGGACTGACCGTCTCCCCGGGCCACCAGCAGGGCGCACGGACGCGCCCAGCAGCCCCCCCGCAGATGGGACACAGCATATTTTCACCAACGACCAGTCGATAGGGAGTTTCACTAGTCTCGTCATCAGCCAGTCGGATGACATCTTTAGCCTCAGCGACAGCAGTGAGAGTGACCTTGTCAATTTTGACCCGTCCGTTGCCAGTGTCAGTGCCATGGGAGATGCAGGACGCCAGGATGACCAGGATGGGAGGGGAGAACAAGGAGGGGGGCCTCTCATGCTGTATCTTGCCAACATCACTAGCTGGCACAAGAAGGCCAGGGACTACGTTCAGTCCAGCGATTTTGCGCGGCCGCATGTCACTATGTTTAGTGAGATGCACGTTCAACGAGACAAAGTGCGTGACGTGCATAAATTCATGAAGAAGCAGGGGTACAGGTCCTACGTCTGCCCAGCTGTCAGGACCTCAGCGACGGGTTCACATGGAGGGGTAGGCCTTTTCGTCTTGCGCAGCCTCTGCTCCCACGCCCGCATCATGGGGGCAAAAGGACGTGACCAGCCCCTCTACGGAGGACAAGGGTGGACAGCCTGCCACCTCCGTCTCCGAGGGCATAGCCTGATTTTGGTTTCAACATATCTTCAAAGTGATGCAGGGTATAACGAGTACAATACGCAAGTGACCAGCCAGATCGCCACCTTCCTCAGAGCCCACAAGTTGCCCTTTATCATCGGGGGGGGACTGGAGCATGACAGGGAAGGAGCTCATGGAGGGGGGCCTCTGGGTGAAGACCATAGGTGGGGTCCCCATCGAGCCGAAGGTAGACTCCACCTGCAACGGGCGGGTGATTGACTTTTACGTGGTGTTTGAGAAGCTAGGTAGGCTCCTGCAGGTCACCCTAGATCGCACAAGTCCATGGAGGCCACATCTTGGGTTACGAGGAGAACTGCAAGTAGAAGTTCTCAGCAAGCACAGCACGTACCCCGAGGAGGCCCCAGATGTCAACGTCCCAGGTGCGGCCCCGTGGCCGTGGGACGAGCTCCAGGTCTTGGCACTCCAGAAGTTCCCCAAGGCTCCAGAGGTCCTTCATCCTGTCGCACCAGAGCATGTCGACGAGACCCTCACTCATAGGTTTGCCGTCCTCTCGCAGGCCCTGGAGTGGTGGTGCTCAGTTCCTGAACTCGGAGGGCCAACGCGGGCCCAGCCCTTTCGCCTGGAGAAGCGGGCGGCCTTCAAGCCCAACCCTCCAGAACCAAGGGGGGGGGCCAGAAAGTAGAAGGTGGAGTACCATCCAGCAGAGAGTTCGGGAACGGGATCTTGCCAGGAAGCGTGACCCCACAGGCCCCAGCCATCGCAGGCTCCAGAGGCTTATCGAGGCTACCGTCGTCAACCTAAATTGGGACTCTAACCTCGCGGATGACCAGCAGTGGGCGCTCTGGCACAGCCTGAAGGAGAGGTCCAGCGAGCCTTTCCCTTTGCACGACCTGCTAGAGCAGCAAGTGCAGTTTTACGAGACCCGCGCGCTGAAGCAGGCCCAGGACGGTTTTGCGGACTGGTTGGAGACCAGCATCAAGCGAGGGGGTGGAGCCGCCCACGCCTTCACCAGAGAGATGGAAGTAGAGGTCAACCCCGAAGAGGCAGACAACCTGGTCCTGGAAGAAGAGGTCCTCATGGACCCCGGCGACATCCTTGAGGCAAAAAGCGATTTCTGGCAGCAGTACTGGAACCCACGGAAGATCCAGACCAAGAACCCCATCTCGGCCCCGTGGATCCAGGAGATACGGGAGGAGGCGATGGGGGACAAGGCTCTGGAGGCCCCCTGGACGGAGGAGGAGGTTCTGAAGGCCATCAGATCGTTCCCAGGACACTCAGCCACAGGCATGGACCAGTGGCTGTTCGAGACTTCGCTCGACTCCCAGGCCCAGGGCGCGTCGAGCTCACGAGCATGCTAAACACCATCGAAGAGAAGCAGTCGATGCCCGCCCAGTGCTTAGGGAACCTCGTAGCACTCAAGCCGAAGACCGTGACGGCGGATAGGCCGATCACGCTCACTACCTCGCTCTACAGGCTGCTCATGAGGATGAGGAGGGGGGAGATCGGCAAGTGGGAGGCGGCCAAGGCAGGACACTGGGACGCAGCAATCAAAGGATCCAGCTGTCTGCGCGCAGGCATCGTTTCAGAGCTTTTTGCGGAGGTGGGGACAGAACTTCAGATCAAGGTTGTCGAAGGGCTCTTGGATTTAGAGAAATTCTATGACACCATCCTCACCCACGTGCTAGCGGCGAAAGCCAACGAAATGGGGTACCCAAGTATCTGTCTAAGTTTGGGGATCATGACCCACCTCGCCGTTCGGTATCTCACCACGGAGATGGGGGTCAGCCAGCCGATCATTCCCCAGCGCAGTGTTCTAGCAGGATGCGGCCAAAGCGTGGCTTGGACGCGAGTTCTTTTGCACGACCTCCTCCATCAGGCGCATCTCAGGTTCAGCCGTCTCACCCTCAGGACCTGGGTGGACGACCTGCGGGCCCGCATGGTCGGCTCGACCACATCCCTGCTCCAGTCCTTCCCCGAGGCTATGAAGTTTATCAAAGCAGGGCTCGTAGATCTTGGGTGCAGGTTATCTCCGAAGTCGGCGCTCCTGTCGAATGACAATGGCATCAGGAACCAGGTTCAGGACTCCTGCAAGCTCCACGGGATCCCCCTGCAGACCAAGCTGGGCACCAGGGACCTCGGGTTGGACTCCACGGTAGGCAAGCGCAGGTACCTAAAGGTTCGCAGGGCTCGGCAGCGTCTTGGGTTCAAGAGGCACAAGAACAGTAAGAGGCTCCTGAGGGTGACCAAGAGTGCTCATCGTCTATACCGTGCAGGGGCTCAGCCACAGCTCCATTGGGGACTCGAGGGCCACGGGGTCTCCCCGACAGAGCTCAGCCAGCACAGGAGAGCAGCAGGGGCGGCCCTGGGGACCAGCAAACCAGGAAGCTGTCTCACCGCAGGGCTCCACCAGTCGAAGTTGCCGCCAGAGGCCCTGGACCCCGCCATCTTTCATCGCATCAATCTTCTCGAGATGTGGTTCGAGCTGGTGGAGAGCCAGCCGCGCCTCAGGAATGGGATTGAGCTCGCCTGGCCCAAGGTGGTCACCAAGCTCCAGCGGCCCAGGCGGTGGAACAATGTTGTCAGCCATCTCAGCGCGGTGGTGGCCACCCTACTCGACCTGGGGTGGCAGCCCAACTCAGCTTGGGCTTGGACAAGCCCATCCGGCCAGGTTTTACGAGTCCGACCTGGGAATCTCCAGGAGCAAGACTATTTCATGTGCAGATTCCAGCAGTTTCTCCACCATCGAGTCTGGAGTGGGGCCCAAGGGGGACACGCAGCAGGAGGGGTGCAGGATGGAGTCGACATCAAGAGCTCATGGTGGCAGATCGAGCGGATGTATCGCGACGGGCAGAAGAACCTCGCGAAGGCGCTCAAGGCAGTCGGCGCCTGTTCAGCCTGGAGCCCCAGGAGACGTTTCGAGGCGGGCCTGGCAGATGACTCGGTGTGCCCGTTGTGTGGATACCATCACTGCGATGACTATCACAAGTTCTGGGGGTGTCCGCTCCTGTTCCAGGCCGACCACCCCCTCATTCCGGCAACAGAGGACCTGGTGGACACCGCTCAAGGGGACGACCAGCCAGCATGTCTGTGGCTCCGAGGGCTCATTCCAGCAGGTCTCGCTCTGAAGGCTGTAGAGGACACCACACCTCAGCACCCCGTCCTAGTAGGGACTGGCGCTTTCCTGGACCCTCCCGAGCCGAGGGGCGGTTGGCGCCTCGGTGCGGTGGACGGTTCGGGGGGGCGTTTTCTCGTCTGATCCCCGCCTGAGGCGTGTAGGATGGGGTGCAGGGGTCTGGGATGAAGATTTAAACCTCCTTGGCACTCTCCAAGGGAATGTCATAGGGCTCCAGACCATCAATAGGGCGGAGCTCAAAGGGGCCACCGAGCTCCTCAAGCATACCCAGGGGGACCTTATAGTGGTCACCGACTCGGCGTACCTCATCAGTGGGTACCACAGGGGCCCCCGTAGGCGAGCACGTTCCAATCGTAGGCTTTGGGCCGAGCTTTGGAGGATCCTAGGAGCTCGCACGGGCCAGGTTCAGTTTCTGAAAGTAAAGAGTCATGCCGCGGACCCTGAGGTCCGCGCCCGTTTTCCAGCTTGGGCCCTGTATGTGAATGAACAGGCCGACGAATTCGCTGGACAGGCTGCCGCCTCTGCCGCCGTGCCCCAGGACCTGGTCGACAGAGTGCTGGCTTTAGACACACTCGCAGAACAGGTCCGAGGGCGATTGGCGGCCGTCCAGATGATGTGGTGGACCCACTACCCAGTGGAGGAAGCTCCCGCCGAGACTAAGAGGGCTCAGCGCAAGGAGCGGAGTGACAATGCCTTCCAGCACCTGCTAGAGGTGACAGCCCACTGGCCCCAGGTCCGTGGCGACCAAGTTTCATGCTCCAGGTGTGGCAGGCAGACCCACAGGAGGTGCTGCGCCCGCTGGCTCAGGCTCCCTTGCCCCGCCGCCAGGCCCGCGGCGGGAGCGAAGGAGCCCACCAGAGCCGCCCTCCCCGCCGCTGGAGGCCCGCCCCCCGTCCATCCTAGCCACCGACCCCACCTCGCCGTGTGCCGTGGGGTCCTCTGGTGTCGGAGGTGTGGGTGCTGGAAGGTTCGGGCCTCCAGGAAATTCAAGGAGCAGTGCGCCCCACCCCGTAATAGTCGGGGTGGGGGGCACAAGGCCATTTTGAAGCTCACCAAGGAGCAGCTCCCCCCAGGCCTCAAGGAATGGCCCCGAGGGAGCTCGTGAGCCCCAATAGTCCCCCTAGCGTGTAGGGATCGAGACTGTCCGATGGGGCGAGCGCGCGGGAGGAGGAGGAGGAGGAGGAGGAGGAGGAGGAGGAGTGGAGGAGGAGGTGGAGGTGGCGGAGGAGGAGGAGGGGGAGGAGGAGGAGGAGGAGGAGGAGGAGGAGGCCGAAGAGGAGGAGGAGGAGGAGAGGAGGAGGAGCAGGAGAGAGGAGGAGGAGGAGGAGAGGAGAGGAGGAGGAGGAGGAGGAGGAGGAGGAGGAGGAGGCGGAGGAGAAGGAGGAGGAGGAGGAAGAGGAGGAGGAGGTGGAGGGGCAGGAGGATGAGGATGAGGAGGAGGAGGAGGAGCATGATGAGGAGGAGGAGGAGAAGGAGGAGGAGATGGAGGAGGAGGAGGAGGAGGAGCAGGAGGAGGAGGAGGAGGAGGAGGAGGAGGAGCAGGAGGAGCAGGAGGAGCCGGAGAAGGAGGAGGAGGAGCAGGAGGAGGAGCAGGAGCAGGGGGCAGGAGTCCGATGAGGAGGAGGAGGAGATGGTGGAGGAGGAGGAGGAGGAGGAGGAGCAGGAGGAGGAGGAGGAGGAAAGGCAGGAGCAGGAGGAGGAGCAGGAGCAGGAGGAGGATGACGCCGACATCGTGGGCATTTCACTATCACCAGGGCATTCTCCGAGGCACATCCCATACGACTTGCTGGTCTGTCATGTTGGTACGCCTGCTGCAGCGGTCTGTTACTGGAACAGCCCACGACTGCGCCGATTCCGACGATATTGATCAACCCTCGCCGCACTTGAAAGCAGTGGGTCTAGAGGTCCCCCCGCCAGCCACCACGTATCTTCTCTTCCAATGCTTGTCTTCTGATGGATGCCTGCGTTGCTTTCTGATGGCAGACACGCACACCTAAATGTACTCTTGTCGGTTCGATTGGGTATGCCCCAGCCCCGATCCAATGCCAAGCTCCCCCGCCCGATTCCACGTGGGTCACGCCCGCTTGTATAGGCCAGTGTACTTATCTGGCCAGTTATAGGACATTGTGAGAATGGCTCTGCGAACTTGAACTCCTTACTCTCCCCGGCCCTCATCCCTTGTACCTTCTCATCCTGTCTTCCTTCCTCCTTGTCCTCCTTCCTCATATTTTCCCCCTCCTCTCGACCCCCTCCCCTCACTCATGCTTCATCCCTCCTTCCTCCTGCGCCTTCCTACTCGCCGTATTCCTGCCCTCGTCCTTGGTACCCTTCTGGAAGACTCGGCGGACAGAGACATACCGAGTCGGCGGGGTTGGTGGAGTGACCCAGAAGGAGAGGGGATAACGAGGATGCTGAGGATGTTGATGATGAAGATGGCGATGATGACGATTGTGACGATGCTGTCGATGCTTGCAGTGCTGCTAATGCTGATCATGATGCTGCTGCTGATGATGATGTAATTGATGATGACGATGATGCTGCTGATGGTGCTGATTCTGATAATGATCAATATGATGATGCTGGTGCTGATGACGATTATGATGATGCTGATGCTGATGATGGTGATGATGATGGTGATGCTGCTGATGCTGATGCTGATGATGCTATGGCTGATGCTGATGATGATGATCATGATGAGGATGCTGATGCTGCTGCTGCGGATGATGGTGATGCTGATGCTGCTGATGGTGATGCTGCTAACGATGATGCTGATGTTGATGATGATGATGTGGCTGATGGTGATGATGCTGGTGATGACGATGATAAGGCTGTTGAAAGTTCTTATGCCGTTGGTGATGCTGTCACGGTGGTAATGGTGATTATTATGCTGATGATGCTGCTGATGATGATAACGCAGTCGAGGCTGATGATGTTGCTGATGCTGATGATGATGATTATGATAGTGGTGGTGGTGCTGGAATCAATGCTGATGCTCATGATAGGGATGAGGATGAGGATGAGGTCACGGTGGGCGATGACGATGGCGACGATAATTGGATGGTGTGGTCAGGATGACGATCAGGGTCATTACGT